AAATGCCAGTACAACCTATCGACCTTGCTGCCCTCTCCCTTGCAACAGTCAAGCCTCTGTCAAGGAATTGGATCCAATGATGTATATTCCATCTGACTGCCTATAATCAAATCCAAAGTGTTCCAGAAATAACTGCAAGGGAGGGAATGAACAAACATCCCAGACTGATAGATCTTATGTCCTGGATCCTTTATATCTGATATTCAAAGCTATAGGTTTTCCTCTCCCTCATTGGGGGTTTTCTGAAGACTGCATCATAGTAATATTAAATTGCTTTTGTGCTCTGCTTTGTTCCTTTTGGTTCACAAGAAATAATGAGTTTTTTTCAAAGAAAACCTTAAGATTCTAGGATGATTGCATTAGCTGCCATAAGGTGTCTTCCTCAAATTAATTTTATGCACTTTTCTTAACCTTTCATAATTAAATTTTTAAAAGATCTCCTTTCAGATCTCCATGTATTCAGAAGCAAGTCCGTATCTCACTAAACAGATACAATTTTTGTCAGTTATGATAATCTAATGAGAAAGGAAGAGGGATGATGACCTTACACAAAGGTGGCATCCATACAAGACGTTGCAACAAGATGTGGAAAAGAACTCAGTGTTCATTTGCATAATATGCTGATCTTAGTATGAACTTTGGTCAAGCTTTTTGTTGCTTCTTTGTTGTGGGAACCCAGCTTCTTTATGATTTAATGCAACAGAGCCCAGAAAATTTGTTAATTCAGTAGCAAAATGAAGGACATTTTAATGAATGAATGCAACCAGTGAACTCTCACACCTTAGACTGATGACTCTCTTTCTCTCGTTCAGTCACTTTCTTTCTCAGAAACATGCATACACTCGAAGGGGGGCACTTTTCCAATCAGTTGCTCAGGAACTGTATAATCATCACCTGCTTGCTGAGTCCTAGAGCATGAAAAATATGAGTTACCTGTGTAAAAACATTCCATAAAACCCTTTTTGAAACAGTTCAATTCCATTCCTTCAGGTTTTCATCTCCAGCCCTATCTCAAAGAACACCAACAAAAAGATAGGACTATTTATGTTAAACGTATTTTGCAGAATTGGGATGATTTGGAGAAACTTCAGATGCACAGGATTTCTATGGACATCTGATGATCAGAGGACAGAACAGGGCTCATACTGAGGGGGGATGAGTGAAGACATCAGTTTGCTAAATCCTCTGATTGCTCTTTCACCCAGAGTCACAATTTCTATTAGGAATGAAATGTTGACTATATTATTTAACAGCATTAAAGATAATCCCTGCTCTGTCATTTCAATCAGGCCTTTCATTTAAGGCCATCAGCCTGCCCTAATTTTTAGGAAACAATATCCTTCGCAACCTTACTTCTTGTGGGTGAGGGTGATCCTGGACTGGACTGAAAAAAATCCAGAATTAGGTCACCTTCTTATTTTTGCAGCCTTTCTTAGAAAGCAACTAACCAAACTGATAGTAAAATTTAAAAGTTATCATGAAAAAAGATAGTAATTTGCATAATTCCTTTTTTTCTCGATCTAACACTATTAATTAATGCTAAATATGTTTAATGCTTTTTAAGTATAAAAGATGTGAGGTTTCTTTTAAAAATATAATAGAATCACATATTTTATGCCTATTTATTTTTCTGGCCAATTACCCCAAAAACAAACTTTTCCATATCTCAGTTGAATTTCATGTATTAAAGCAGAAGACCCTAAAAGTTACCTATATTTTCCAGCTTTAATATTTGAGCCAATAATTCCTTTCTGATGAATCTTTGAAGAGCAGTGGAACAATCTTAGAGAACATGTTAAGTCAACATGTCCAATGTTAAAAAAAAAAAAAGGCCCTCTCACTCACACATACACACAAATACAGTACTTTGTGGGATATGCAGAAGTTTGGGGAAGTATTGCTGGTAAACTATAAAGCATTTAAAATGTGTTCCAGGAGCTGTATTACATAAATAATTTCAGATGATAAGGTGTGGTAGACTGAAATCAAAATACTCATATGGTTATTGTGGAAGTAGTATTCTCTAAAATAAACGGCACTTACTAAAATCAGTTAAGGGTCTCTAGTAACTCTGCTAAGAAAGGAAATACCTCCCTGGCAATGATGGTTTGGAAAAAAAAAATAGCATCTGGCTAAGGAAGCTAGGGGCAACCAAAAAGGTTTTGAAATTTACTATATGGGTGGATGATCTGAAAAGTTCTCAACTGAATGAGATTAAGCTGAGAAATTTTAACTCACCTGTTAGTTTTTTTTAAAAAACCTAGATATTCAACCTTTATTCAAACAGAAGTGGCTTCTTTTTACTCTGAAATTTCAGTGCTATTCTGAAACCAATACTTGCCTTGAACAGTAGTGATTAAGTATGTGGTATATGATTGCAATTAACAAACTGGATCATGTACAGAGAAGGGTGACAAAGATAGTTAAAGGTATTGGCAGCCAAACCTGGCAAAGAGATTGAAGAGTGGATATGATAGCTATCTTCAAATATTCAAACTGTTGTCACCGGGTTGATGTAGCAAATATGTTCTCTCTTGTTCAGGGTCCAAACTAATATGCTTAAGTTACAGGGAGAAAGATTTTAACTCAATATTAGGAAAAACATTCTGATAGCATGAGGTGTTTGACAATATAAAAGGCTATCCCAAAAAGGGATGAATGATGATGATGATGATGATGATTTGTGGGGAGTGTTAAATGTTGAAGCTAGCTGGCCATTTATCAAGGGTGCAGTGGCAGATGAGTTGTTAGATCCTTACCAACTCTGGAATGCATTTACCTTTACACCTGTTAGTTTCTAACAGAAGCGAATATGTGTAGCTCAGGGCTGAACTGTGGAGTCCTTGGGGTTCTCTGAGCTTGGTTGTTTTCTTGCAAATGTTTTGTTACCCGGCTAGGTAACATCATCAGTGAAGATACATGAAACCATCAACAACATCTTCAAAGGAATAAAATTCACCAGAGAGGAAGAAAACAACAACACGCTACCCT